TTTTGGACAGAGAAGATAGTGGAAATCGACACATTAGAGAGAGAGAGACCGAGCTTGGGCTTGATTCTCGAGAAAACAACAGAGGTGATAAGCGTGCGGCGCTCAAGTAAAAGAGTCGAGCTGAAGATGGGTAACGGGAACGGCATGTTAGTCACGAATCTGGGAGTAGTGTGGAAATTGCTAAGGCCCTCCTGGTGCCCACATCCCCACGCGAGCCTGATCGAGGAAGTCACAGAGCGAGTGAGGTTAGCACCGAAGGAGGACGAAGATCTGGCAACATTGAGTATAGTGCACAAGCTAATCTTGCCTCAGGTGAAGGGGTCAGGCGAAGCGACGAGTAAACTAGGGTCGGCGAAGAAGATGGAGCCGGGTAGTTGTATTGATTCGACGTGTGGGAGTGGCGAGCACACCTGTGATGGACGGTCATGCGTTAGGATACAATCCTTCCAAAAAGAAGATCTAGTCACTTGGTTTGAAGATATCACAGAGAGGGAGAAGGGTGAGGTGCAGATAGTGGCTGAGTGTTACGCGAGTACCACTGTGAATATAACAACAGCTCTGGGATTCTTCTCAAGGATGTGTAGTCTGCAGTCACTGGAGAGGCTAGAGTCTGAACACCATTTGGTGACCGCGTTGAGCGTGGAGTCATGGCCCGGGGTGTTGCAGGTAACTCAGAAACACATCAAAAGCTGGAAGGTCGGACGACTTGAGGCGGAAATGGGATTTCCCATGAGCGAAGCCTATGGTGTGCCTCTAAATGCGAAGTCCCTAGTGGGGTCAGCGATGGCCAACCTGTGCGGCAGCCACTACTCATTGCACATGGCGATGGTGGAGGTATCCAGCCAAAGGGTATTAAAAGACAAGGCCCTCTCAGTGCCCAAGTGCGTAAGATTGGCTCGGATGTCGCATCACTCACACAGGTTATTGAGAAAAATCCGAGGAACAGTGCCGAGAGAGCAGAGGGATGACTTGAGTGAAATCTGGGGGGAAGAACTTTTGGGTTTGGAAAGTGAAAACACAAGTGACCACGAGAGACAAAATGTGATCGGGAAACCGATGGGTGGTGCTCCAAACATGGAGGAGAACGATACGATACACGAGAAGATGATGGAACTTGAACCTCTCCTAGAAGCCTCGGGAGAGCGCAACCTTAGGAGTATTGACATCACACATGGGGAATGTCCATGCCACTGTCTGGCACAAACGGTGTGGTATCCGGATCACGCAAACCTCTGCCTGGTATGGGATGTGGAAGAAATTCGGTCGATAGGATTACCGGACCACAGGCAAAAGGTGACGCTCTTAGTGGTTAGCACGATGCTGGCTCTACGATGGATTGAGGAAAATGTAACGAAATATCGGGAGTCGAAGACGCCAACGGCGGAGTCGATATACGCGATAGATTACAGCAGGAAACTTGAGTTGTTTGAGACTGCATGCAAAGTATTCGCCATACCAATGGAGGTCAGGCACGTATGGAGCTGCATAAGGTTCTTTCCTTGGTTTCGAGCGAATTTGACATCTTGCTTGTACATGGTAACGAAGGATCACATGAAGAAATATCAAAAGGAAAATCCGCAGTTCCTGGCCGAGATAGGACCGGAAGCTTTCAAGAGACCTCTGCTGACCCATCGAAATGCGATCACGACGGGATGGAAAAGAGTTGGTAGGGTGTCAAGAAACAATACTAAGGCGAGAGAGTCGATACTGGAGGAAGACTTGGCGAAGAACGTGAGCATGAGTCTGCACAATTCCTTCTGTTTGAACCGAGAGTCGAGGGTGAAGAGTTTGCTCAACCAAGCAAAGAGATTGCAGGAGCAAAGGGAATGGATGCGGTTCTATGAACAGCTGAAAGCCTGGGAGGAGATCGTGATTAGCTCCGATGATGAAGAGGCACTGTTGAAACAGATTACGGTGTCAAATACGTCTGGGTCTGGTACCTCGAAGGCGAAGAACGCGAGATGAGCAGGTGGCTCAATGGGAAATTCTAGAGTCTTGATTCTTGAGAGGGAAGGAAAGGGGCTCGAGGGTGAACTTGGATGAAATCTGGGTTCACGAAAAAGAAGTTTTAACAAATGAGATATTGTTATTATTATGTTATATCTATTATATAAATCAAAATGCTGCATGACAATTTCCTGATTGAATAGGACAAAAGAAATTTTGAATTACTAGCTAAAAAAGTGAAAATTCAAAGGTGCAGGTGTGTGCAGATTTTGATTGCTGTTCAAAGATAGTGTGAAAATTTTACATGGTTGTGAAATTTGGGGTGTAGATAAACTTAAGTCTGCTGCAAACTTCTGTAAATGACCACTGGCACTGTACCTTGAGCAACACTCGGTTTTCTGGGGATCCACTGACAGACAACAGCACAGGATGAGGACATCGATCTTGAGTCCAGGGAGTATGTGCCAGTCGGTCATATATGGAAGTTTGACCTTAAGGAATACGAAATACGTAGTTTTGGGATGAAGTTTAATTTTTCAAAAATTCGAATTGAGCCTGCCATGCTCCACTTTCTCGCGACAACTGAAAACATCAGAAATAAAATTGGAACGACCGAATTGCAATTGCGGGAAAGTGGCAGAAAAAACAGCGGGGAAATTGCTATTCGCAATATCCGAGATTCTAGTAAAAAACACGAGAGTAGAGCTGTCCTATCTTGATATAGTAGACAGAGTAATCAGGAGAGCAGAGCGAAATCCAACTGAACCAGAGTGAACCTTCAGTGGAAAGGTGGACAACTGAAGTCTCCCAATGGTTCAGAACCCAGAAATATATACTCAAGTCAAAACTCATTTCCTTTGATTGGAATTCATTGATAGCAAACTTCTCAAGTTATATTCAATCGTATTTATGCTAGAGTTACTAACTAGCTTAGTTACTCTAATTCTCAAGTGTGCTGCTATGTAAGTACCTACTTAAATTTTCCCGAGTGTATTTTTTGATAGTTACGTTGAGATAAGGCGAGTTTTAGGTTGTCCTTTTGAAATGGATCAAAATTTCACTGTCCAATAAAAAGTAACTTAACGGATATTTCCGACCCTGTTTTTAACGGCGTTTGTGTATTTTGGGTATTTTGAGACCTAAGTATGGGGAAGTTCTTATTTTCTAGAGTGGGGGGGTATTTTGGTAGTAATTTTCGCTGAAAAAGTAAATTTCAAACGTTTTCGCAACTATGTGCATCGTCAGGATTTTTACAATAAACTAATCTAAATGACGATAAAACATCAGTTTACAAATGTTATTTTTCAACAAATCACATACAATTTGGTTCTAAACCATCATTAAAAAAGTTAGCCAATCACAGTTGACCTCTAAATTATTATTAAGATTAAAATACTTTTAACCTCTAAAATTAATTAAACATTTTAAAATTAATTTGTCTGGAAGTTTCTGAGTCATAATTTTGATTTAGAACAGTCTAAACGGTGGCCTCTAAGCTGTAACGGGTTTTAGTCTCATGTCGCAAGTGAACCGAATGGGCTCCGACCGTTTTGAGGTAGAAAAACACAAGAGATAGTGTCCCTGACTCCTGAGCCAATGGTTATAGGGCCTATTTTTCTTAAGCCTCATATGAGACCGAAGTAGACGACTGTTACATGGGGAGTCATGAGCCCGTTTGTCCCAAGGTCCCGGGAGCAAAAACAATTAAAGAGAAAGCGTAAAACCAAACAAAAATAGTGTATAACCAAGAAAAAGCCAAAAACAATTTTTTTGAAAACAAAAAAGAACAAAAAACTGTTACAGACGGAAAAGTTCTGCTTTCATCGCATTGAGAAAACCGTCAACGAGTTGATCCGTCTTGGTGTAGACATCTTCGCTCCCCTCGAGTCTTTCAAGAGAAGAGTCCAGGAACTTCTTTTAGAGAGAACTATATCAACTTTTGATCAACTGAACTCTTGTTCATGGTTCTCGTAGTGCACCTGTTCAAACTGTCGATCTTGACTATGTTTTTATTTTTATTTTTGCCTTAATTTATTTAAGGGAATTAATTCTTTCTTCTTCATACGAATACATCGGCAAAATTGTATAAATCAATCAAGTCAGTTTTAAAGCATCCAGAGAATTGTCAACTAAAATCTACCCTCCTCAATAGCACTGATGGAATTGTCTACGTTGTATGTATTTTTCAGTTTTTTGCACCTCGTGAGAAGTGCAAAGTTTTTTGTGTCGGAGTATGATTCGTTCCGTTTTTCGCTCAATTTTTCTGCTAGTTTCTGTTTGGTTTTTGTAGAGCCTGGTGCTGCTTCTCCAGTACACGCTAAAATTAGTTGGTAAAAGCTGCTGTGTTCCAGATCCAGAATTCTCTGTTGATATTTTACTGTTTTGACACTCATGATATTTGTAGGCGTCAGATATAGAGGGCAGGATTCGGCATGGGGGTTGAAAATTTTGTACACCGATTAGGGTTCGGCCTGCCCAGAGTCCTTCATCGGTTATATGGTTTTTACCTATAACACTAGGAAGTAGCTGCTGTCCTACGTTTTTCTCATTTTTCTCAAGTTTTTCTCTTACCTCTACAGGCCTTCCTCTACAATAGCGCTGATAGAGTTGTCGATAATGATGCTGTCCTTAATGATTTTTAAGTAAGCTGACATTTTAATTATATATGAAGAATTGTGGTAGTTTAGAGTCTAGTTTCCCAGAGGTTTCTTTAAAACAACTGATTTCTTCCAAATCTACTAACTTTTTCCAAATCTTCTGTTGTCTATGAGTCCTTATTCAAGATTCCGTAACATCGAACAGACTTAGATAATTTCGTTTTCGGACACAATATTACATAGTCGTTCTGAGACATATTTGAACTGACATTTTCTCTCGGAAAGCGGAAATGCCGTAACTGACCGGCTGGCGGAAGCGCTGTTTTCACAATCCTTGTAATCCCTGTGATGTTAAGAACAGTTTATAACGGGATGCAAGTGACCTACAATTACATCATCTTAATGGCTATCCTATTGCAACTGAAGTCCTTGATTCTGTTTTTTGATTTTCAGAAAATGGGTACTCAACAGGAAAATTTGCCACCGACGGTGATCAAAACTGTTGCAAAAGAGTTGTCCAATCTCTCAAAAGATAGTATAGATGGAATCAAAGTTCAGTTTGACGACTCGAATTTGACACTGATTACTATATTTGTAGACGGCCCAGGTAAATATCTTATTTCTTTGTCAATATATCTAATCAGATACCATTGGGTATTATCTTTTTTTTTCATCATAACCCCGACTATCTCATTTAGAAGGCACACCTTTTGAGGGCGGAGTTTTCAAAATATCGCTTTCGATATCGAAAGATTATCCTATGTCACCTCCTAAAGGCCTCTTCATAACCAAAGTTTTCCATCCGAATGTGAACGAAGATACCGGAGAAATATGCGTGAACACACTTAAGAAAGACTGGACACCAAACTTGGGAATCAAACATATTATGCTCGTAAGTAATGTTTTACTGAACAGATAGTTTAATATATCATAGAATCGATTATTCAAATTTTACCCTAGCAAATAGATATAAAAGGAGATTTGTACAGAGATTAATGTTTAATTGAGCAGATTTATTCAATGATTTCGAAATTTGAGAGAATACTTAAATGAGCCAGGGATAAGCGATTTTCTTTAAGCCTGGGGTTTTTCTCTCTCTTTTTTTCCGGGGGGATGGAAGAGTTTTGATTGATCATTTCAATTTAAAGCAGTGTTGCACTTGAGTTGTATCGAAGAGTGTTTTAGTGCTGCCATATTTTTTGTTCGGCTTCAGGGGCGGATTTGGGGGGGGGGGGGGGGGGCGGGGGCGGACCTTTGATACTTTTTCAGAAATTCATTTTTGGCCGACCGACCCTAAAGTTTTTCCAAAGGCGGGGGGAGCGCGCGCCAAAAAAACGCGATTTTTTTGTCAAAATTCCAGAGGGAGCGCGCGCCATAAAAAAACGCGATTTTTTTGTCAAAATTTTTCAAAAAGTGCCCAAAAACGTCTTTTTGCCCCTCCCCCTCGAGAAAATCCTAGATCCGCCCCTGTTCGGATTTAATGTTGTCCTATTTATCACTTATTAAGAGTCGATGAACATAGGTCGTGATAATTTTTTTCTGGGGAAAAATCTTGAGATGCTCTTATGTTTTACAGATGTGCATCCATACATAATAATGCATTTATGAATGCTGCTAGGTATATATGCACTATTTGGATTCAATTCGTTTGCATCGGCTAAAAGTTAGGCAAGTTGCGCTTTCCACTTAAGAAAGTGTGAAAACACGAAAAAGGTGGACGACGTCTGGTTTTGTGAGTAGAATTAAATTTTCAGATTTCCCAGCTGAGTGAAAGTTTACCCTTTGATCCAACTTTCTCAAGAGTTAATTTATCAAAAAAGTGTCGATCATGAATTGATCTAGAAATTCAAAGAGCCGTAAAGTGGTAACTTCGAAATGGTAAATTTGAAGATTTTTCAGAAAGAGTCAGGTTGTTTTTGTTCTGTTTTCTTGCGTTCATTGACTCTTTTCCAACTGTCTGTTGGCTATGTTTTTTGCGTTTATGTGAAAGATCGAACGAATCCAATTTCAAGAGGTCAAATTTTATCGTGTTTTTGCGAGAGCGAGTGTGCGGTTATCGTGAACTAATCTTGATCTCATTTTCTTTACCCTTGCTATCAGCAAGGTGTTGCAAGCGCGTGCTAGACTTGTTTTCCCCGTAATCAAATTTTTTTTGCAGAGTTCGTACGTGAAAACGTTGCACGTGTTGTACTTTTTTGATTAAAACTCAAATTCAAGGAGCATTCTGCGCATTAAACGCATTTTAACACACATGCTCGAGACGACAAATCCCTGGAGCTCGATTCCACTCTGGACCTATTTTTTTTGCAAGCTGAAGATTTTTGGCTGTTTTTTTACGATCGTCTGTCGGTTTAGTTCTCGCGGACAGGGCTTTTTTAAGGGTTCGGCTCCTTTCTAACATTCTGAATGCTCCGTTTAAAATTTACAATGGTGCAGGTAGTTGCGTTCCTAAATTTGTTTGCAATGTTCTAAGTGTTATGACAGAAACGATTTTTGAAGGTTTTTTTTATTTTTTTTACTTTGTTTGCTTTTAATCATAGTCGTGCATTTATGTATCGCAAGTTGTGCGAAGCGAGCAGTTGGTTTATCAATTATAGTTGATTTATCAAAGTGATTTAAAATCAATGAAAGTTGATTTTATGATTTATCAATTAAAGTTGTGAGTCTGACTTTAAGTGCTTTAATAAAGATTGAAGGTACAAAGGACTGGGATTCGAGTCCGCGCCTTCTTTTTTGTCCATGTAAGAAAGAATATAGTTCTTTCATTTCTTGGTCTCAATTCTTGGCGGCTTACTCTATTTTTAAACGATCAATTTAATCCCTCTTCATTATAATGTATATGTTGGGCTATAAAAGGTTCTTGAAGTTAAAAAACTGAAAAATGTTCCAAAAAAATCAATCAGGGATTTTTTCGGTTTTCTTGATTTCATTGACGCTTATCCCACTTTCTTTTGGCAATGTTTATTATAAAGTAGTTTTTTGTTTAAAGCTCTCAGAATTAAAAGGTTTTTATGTCTGTTGTCCTTATATTGGATTGTGGAATTTTGTCTATTTTGAGCTTGTCTGATATTTAGACAATCCGATGTCTGCTAATCAACCCCAATCCAGAATCTGCCCTAAATACAGATGCTGGAAAATTACTGCTGGAAAATTACGAGCAATATTTCGCACGAGCCAAAATGATGACAGAAGTACACGCTTTCCCAGAATCCAAAATGAAGCAGCTATTGTTTCCAAATTTAAAGAGTAACACAAAAGACAAGGAAAACAATGGAAGATCGGAGGGTGTTTTAAGTGATCAATCGAATGCTAACTTAGCCGACGGTACTGCTGGACCCAGTGCTGCGAAACAACAGAAATCGACCGCTTTGACAAACCCTTCAGAGAAGGCAAGGTTAAAGGCGATGAAGGAAAAGAAGCGTCTCCTGAAAAGACTCTAGCCTCGAATCTTGTTGATTATTTAACTAGTAGGCTATACGTCACGAATAAACTACGTACTAAGTGGCGATAGAAAGAGACTTTTCTCCTTCGGTTTTCATTCGTGTAGGGTTTGTTGAAGCTTTGTTTTGCAATGTTTTGTTTTGTATTTTATCAATTAAATCGAGCAATTTTACACTATTTAACTTTTCAATTTACCAACACATTTTGTTGAAAAAGACAAAAACTGAAACAATTTTTTTTTAGATTACTAAAAAACTTTTTTTTTCAGATAAATGAACCCCTTGACGAATGCACGCAACCAACAAGAATTATCTGAACGGGAGCTTCATTTAGGAGTTGCAAACTCAAACCAATCGTGGCATTCGTTGCATAAAAACAGTGCCTATGTTTATGCAGGAGGATTACCCTACGATTTATCGGAAGGTGACATAATCTGCGTGTTCAGTCAGTATGGAGAAATTGTGGACATCAATTTGATTCGAGATAAAGCAACGGGAAAGTCAAAGGGCTTCTGCTTTTTGGCCTACGAAGACCAAAGAAGTACAATTTTAGCGGTCGACAATTTGAATACGGCTAAAGTGTGCAATCGACAAATAAGAGTGCAGCATGTATCAGATTATAAGGCGACTCAGTTGAAGGAAAAAGATTTGAAAGATAGTGAGAAAAGCGACTGGGTTAAACTTCAATTGGAAGGAGTTGCTCCAAAAGCAATTAGCAATGGGCATGGAAGCTCGGATTCAGATGCCGAGATAGTTATCGCGAAGAAAAAGAAGTCGAAAAAAGAGAAGAAAGAAAAGAAAACGAAGAAAAATAAAGACGAACGAAAGCAATTAAAGAGAGAAGCTTCTCCGAGTTTTATTAAAGGTGAGGTTAAAGTTAAGAAAGAAAGACGTGATCACAAGGAGTACGAGAGACCAGAAAACTACAGCCATGAAAACCGATACAGAAATGCAGAAAGAGTAGAAAAAGATGGCAAAATTAAAAAGAGGAAGCGATCTAGATCAGGATAGCTCGAACTCATGGGGTCTTACTGCTTTGATAAGATGGTGAGGTAGATTATGGCAATGAAAGATGGGGACCCAAAAGAAATAGCAATTTTTGAAAAGATGGAGTTTGAAGAACTTTCCGATGGCATTGCCGAGGTTCAATCGAAATGCCGAGGAACTTTCATAGTGACTGAAATTACTGGTCCATGAAGCCGTGATCAATTAAAGCAAAACTATGCGTTTCTTCTCGTATTAGAAAAGAAAATTTCGTGTCACAAATTTTTGCAGTGGTGTTGAGTATAGAGCGAGCTCACATCGTGTCATTACACTAGTGATAGACATAATTTTTGTGCACTGACATGCTAAACTCGAGAGTTAGAATTTAACTTCGTGGAAATGTGCTACGTCATCTTCTACTAAAATTTCATTTTTTGATTTCATACTTTCTTTTCAATATGTCTTCAACAAAATAATTCAGTTATATTGGTTTTTGGTGGCGTTGTGTCAATTTCTGTCGGCTTAGTTGCCGATATTGCTTAGATCAGACTAGTTCAGACTCTTATATATGTCGTTATGATTTTTTTCAGAAAAAGTCTTGAAAGAGTTCGGGCTGAAATTTTTTTTTGCGGTTTGATTTTCGATTTCTTTTTTAGTTCAGTTCATTTCCTTTGTTAAAAGGAATGCAAACTCCATCATCGAACAGAAAAAGTGTAAAGGTCTTGAAAAACTTCGAGTTTCGATAGCGGAATTAAGTTTTTAGACTTTTCAGGTAAATAAAAAAAATAACTTTTTAATACATTTTATTCAAATTGGCAAACATAAATTGTTCTAGAATTTCAGCAAGTTTTGAGGCTATATAGTTTTTTCTTCGAAGTTTGAGTTTTTCAAAAAACAAAAGCAGTTTTTTTGTTTACTTGATTTCATTGATTCGCTCTCATTTCTCTGTTGGCTATGTTTCAGAGTCATGAACACAGTGAGTACTCTTATTTAGTTCTGAGTGATTTTTTGCTCGTTTTTTTTCAGGAAAAATCCTTAAATTTTGTTCAGGCTCAAATTTACTTTTTTGCAGTGTGACTTTTGATTTCTTTTTAAGTTCAGTTTATTTCCTTTGTTAAAAGGAAGGAAAACTCCACTATTGAACAGCAAAAGTTTAATGGTCACGAAGTACGTGATCGACTTCTAATTTCAAAAAGCGAAAACAAAAAGCTAATTTCAATAGTAAATTGTTCAATAAATTTTCAATCGTAAATCGTTATTGAATTTCAAAGAGCTGAAGGCTATCTATTCTCTCTTTAAAATTTGGTATTTGAATTTTTAAAAAAAAAAGTTTTTTTTGTCTTTTGCGTTGATGACTCTTTTTCAATATCTGTTGGCTATGTTCTTAAATGCCAAGATAATGGTGATGCAATTCAAACTCTACGTAAATTGTTTTTGCAGATGATTTCAATTCTTTTTACGTTGATTTCAAATTCATTTGCTATTTAGCTCTTCAATACACCATAGTGCAATTATTGCAAAAGACACATGAATGATTTTTAGTTTTGAAAGTGGATTTTAATCTTAGATTTCTCAGTGGCATAAAGGTCTTACTTTTTACCTAATGATCTATTTTTCATTATATTGCAGGTATAAAAAATCTTTGGTGATAGTTTTTTTTTAAATATTCAAAAGCCTTAAGGCTAATATTGTTTTCTTGTCAAGCTTCAGAAATTGGCTCATGCATGCTCTGCTTTAGGAATATGAATTCTTAGAATCTTTGAAATAGGATGATAGGAAGAATTTGAAAACAGCTACCTTTTTATCGGCTAAGGTTTTTGAACTAAACTACTAAATACCTCTGTTCCATTTGCTTCTTTTTTTTCTGAAATCTTACTAAAGCTTCAAGAGACGTGATGAAACATTTGATAATTGTAAAAGTAGATGTATTGAAATAACAGTGTTTGAATATTTTTGGCTGATACATGTTTTCATAAAATTAGTTGTACAAATCAATTTATATGCTGTGTATCTGTACCATATCTTTGCCTTGATTTAAAAGTTTTAGATTAGAGTTTGATATTAAAAAGTTTTGCTTTGAAAAAAGTTCATATTATTACTTTCTCGTTTTTTGTCCACTAATTTTGTTATTTTTGTTTTCGCACTTATTTATTGTTTTTGTTGAATTGTTGAAGTGCTAAACGGGTTTGAACTCTGCCAGTTTTGTTGTATTGGGCTTCGAATGGTATGTTAAATTTCGTATTCGAATAGTTTTTTTTTCAGACTTTTCGGTATTCTAAAATGAATTTTGTTGGGAGTATCAGCGCTACTGGCGCAGCAACGCTCTGTATTTGTTTCTGTTTGATCTCGCTTTTGCGTGCGTTGAAAAATAATCATGTTTGTATCAGGGAGTTATCCACATTTTTTATACTTCGTGTTTTTCTTCGTAATTTGCAGCCGTTTTCTATATCTCTGCATTGAGTATCCTGAGAGCTCATGTATTTGAACAATTGCTTTTTTCTGACTCAATTTTCTGATCTGACTGATTTTTTTATTGATTCTTGTGATCGCGTATACTTCTTTTACTCTTGATGAAACTGTATTAGTTTATCGTAAACTAGCAATTTGTGATCTTTCTGTTGCGAAAGTGGTGCGTAATTCAGCGTCGCCTCTGCGATTGCAACTATTAGGTTTTGTGTTCTTGTGACATAACCATTACGTACTTGTCTTAAAGGATCGGTACATAGGTATATTTTTTGCAATCAAAGAAGCAGCTTTTCGTGTTCAATGTGTTCAGTTTTTGTGTACTATTGGCTCATTTAATTGGTTAGTTTTAAGAAACGGCTAATTTTTTAAGCTACTGAATTTCGTTGAGGTTATATACTATAGGTTATTTCTATGACTTCAACTCAAAAGATCAAAAAATTTTGAAAGAACCGGCATATAACCCAAGTAGAGGTTGGGTCGTCGTTGCCTAAACTGTCTTTGTGCTTCTTGACCTTTCAGAAATGTAAATTTTTGCTTTTGTGTCTGCATCATTGTAGTGGATTTTTCCGCCTAGTCCCCATCTTTTTTTGACTCGGTGTGTTTGGTTTTTGTGCTTAGTTTTTTTCCTGGTATCTGTTTTCTACGTTGTTAAGAAGGACGGTTTTGTGAAAAAATCCCTATCTTTTTTTGCTTCGGCGAAAATCGCCATCTAGAGTCCTGCCGTCTACTTGGACCATTTCACTGGCAGTTCGGCGGTGTATTTGTGCCAGAATGATGGAATATTGAGTGGGTTCCTTGATCCTGTGTTGACTGCGCCATTTTATAAGTTTTATTTACCCACCGCCGTGTTCGCAGAGAAAAAAGATAGCTTCAAATTTAGGAAACTTAAGATAGTTCTTGGAAACATATGGAATGATCAAATGAAGAAGGATGATCAAATAAACTGGATGTTTTTTTATCGCAAAAGACAAGTTAATATGATTCGTGGGAAATAGAATTAGCTTGTTAATAGTGGAAATAAAATAATAAATTCGAATTTTTCCAACTTGTTCATTAACGCTATTCGCACTTCCGGTTGGGTATGTAACTTTTTTCTTCTGACCATGCAAAAGCCTTTTAAATACTGATAAAACGGCAGGGCGACAGTTCGTAACAGGCGGCAATTCGTAACAAGGCATTGACAAGTAGCGAATGCTTGCTCCGCTCCGCTTATGTTCGGCACGTGCGGATTAGTGCGCGTAAATCAGTGTTTGACGCTAAATATACTGCTAAGAATTGTCATTTGTTACGAGTTGTCACCTGTTACGAATTGTCACCTCACATGCTAAAACTTCTTAAGAATTATGGGTATGAAAATTGAGATGTGGTAACGATGTTCAGTTGAATAAACTGTTTTTTTTTGTGGTTTCCATCTACGGTTTTCATGGTTTGTTGTGCTGAAGCTGTGGTTGCCTCTTTTTTTATTTAGTTAGGAACCTATCTATCTGCTAAGTCTAAGTTGGTTTTCCGTGTGCAATTTGTTTAATGAAACTGGATCTTTGAAATCGAGTAAACGAAATGACACTAGGATTGTGTACGTGAGAATTTTTTTGTTCTTTTTTTAAATTTAATCTTCTAAGTTGAGCTACATTTTTCCCCAGCATCAACAGTGAAAATGACGCAAAAATCCCATTTGTCAGTATGTGTTCATGATTTCGATTCACTTGATGGGAGACTCTCTGCGTCGCCTCTGCTATCAAATGTTGACATTGCTACTGCTTCAGGTTTATGATCATATGCAATGAAGTCAAATGCTATCCAATTCGGTCACCCAGTTGCAATGCTGTTGGGACATTTCGCTGTCAGAAATGATTCTCTAACATTTGAAGATAATGAAACTCAGAAAAAAGAAGGCATTGATATTATCAACAGCCAGTCAAATGATAAAAATTTCGTTGAGCAATACGTAGAAGCCGTAGATACTGTTTTGAGAGTGCAGCAAAGGTGCGATCCGGAGAAACTCAAACTCTGGCGTTCCATCCTTTGCGCTGTTTTGTACGAATTGACAAAAGGGGATCAAACCTGTTCAGAGCAAGGAACCAAAAATCACAAGTTTGATTTCACAAAACATGAAAGCCAGAATGAAATGACTTATCTGTGCGAGTTTTTGCCCAGCTTGAGAGTCGAAGAGTTTCTGAAAATATGCTTCAAACTTCAGTTTTTTGCGGAGCTCGGAAAGATTGTGTGTCATTCGGAATATGAAATTCTTGTAATAGTTGAGCAAATTTGGTCGAATTATGACGAAAATTCTGAAGATACGATTAGAAACCTTGCCAAGTTTTCTATAAACTTGTGGAAAAGCAAAGCCGATAATCTAGAAGATTACCGTATCTCCCTGGATTTTGTTAAAAATTATCTACACGCCACTGATGTGGTTGAAAAATTTGAGGAAGAGCTGCTTAAACTGCTAGCAGGAGATCTGAAGTTGATGCAAGCTGAAATTGATCAATATAAAAAAGAATTCAAACCATATAGTTATACTAGGAATCCAGAAAGTTTCAATAAAGAAACTGGCCAAAAACTGAAAAAGTTAGTTAAACTCACCAAAACTATCGTTAACGAGCTGAAAAATAATTTTGGCGTCCAAGTAGAATCAGTTGACCTTATAAAAATGGAAATCGACAAATGTTGTTTTTTGATTGGCTTTGACCAATGCGAGATGTTTAACAGCAGGGAAAATGTAATCGATCATTTTAAAAATGTTGATGGTTGCCGGGAAATTGACATAGCTGTCAATTCGGTCAAATACTTTCTCAATGATAATTTGACACAATTTTGTTATGTCATGGATTACTTCTCGAAGCTTGAATCATCTCAAAACGATAAAAATGAATTCGAAACAATTCTGGGGATTGTCGAAACTTATTTGCCGTTAATTTGTTGTCCTGAGGTAATGAATAAGTTGCTGTATCTTACTTTGGCTCCCGGTCCTTGCGAAAAATTGAACTGTGTTGGAACCAAAATGTCCAGCGATTCTATTTGTCTGCTGAGAAATGTTTTCTTCGAGAACATGATTAAGTTAACTATTGATGATATCGAAATATTACGAATCAATTTATACGAAGAATTGAAAAATTTAGGTACGTTTAACGAATGGAGTATATGTATAGCAGAGGAAATGGGATTGACTCTAAGTAAATTGACAGAACTTTTCAACCGAATCAGTCCGAAAGACTTGCATGAGCAAAACGAAACAATGAATTATCTGTCGAAATGTTCCTTTGTCATTCCTGATAAAATCATTGAAAAAGCTGTGCATGATGCGTTTGCTACCAGAGGAAAGACCATGTTGATTCAGTTGCTATTCCAGAAGTTACCATCGT